AATTTTGGCATTGCATTGTCAAGGTATTTCACATTTTCTTTCAGGGGTGTGTTGGTCTCCTTACAAATCTTATATATATATATATATATATATATGGATCCAAATCTGCCGAATCACTCATGTTATGATCTTCTACATCATGGGTCTTTCCGTTCCTTCATCTATGTTCTTCATGTAGAATTCAGACTGAATGATTATGAAGTTACGTTGAAACTTCCACATATTATGGGTAACGTAGGAGACATCTCTATTTTTTCCCCGAGGAATCTTTACAGTTCCCACCGCTTAACTTTCAACTCCGTTTTTGGTTCTGATGAATCTACATAGATCATGATCACCAGAAATACTAGTTATCTCCACTTCTTGGAGTTTTGAGTTTTCATATCATGGTTGGAGACACACTTGAAAGCTCATGGCACGTGGGGTTGGATTTGCTGTGTATGTTGCTTAAGTTCAGGTGCAATGATTTTATAAAGCAGTATCAGGTTCAAGGATATTATTCATAAATGCGTTATCAATAAAAAAAATTGTGTTAAAAGATTCTAGAATAGCGCTTCTCAATTGCAGGAAGAGGTAAACTGTGTACAATTCTAGGGAAAACTAACTGATAGAAAAGAAAAAGAATGCTTGTTATGAGGATGACAGTAAAAGGTGGGGCAGGAAGCATGATACCAGAAATGATGCATGATCATAATAAAGTGAACCATGGCTAGTACATGAGACATTTTTCTTCAAGGCTTGCTGGCAATTTTTCGTGGATGTCTAGATGCCTTTATCCCTGTGTTAGGTTATATGGCCCCTCAATGTAGAGAGAAATTGCTAATTATTATACCAAAAAATGGAAGCTAAATGTGCAATTCTTAATGATCCATACATGGAAGATTACATTTGGTTTTTAGCCGTTCAAAAAGAATGCAATTGTTTTGAATCTCCGGCCTAGAGAAGGTAGGCAAGGTGGATTTGGGGGCAGCAATCTGCATTGACCACTTTGCTTTTCTTCTGTTGCAAATAAAACCCAATCACATGCTTGGTGACTGCCTTTGGAATAGTTGAAATGGGATAAAAGAATATCCTTCTGGACGGGGTGGTGTCACCATACACTCATCCTTCAGCTTCTATAACTTATATCAGCAGTATTAGGCTGTCATTGCCTTTAATTCTTTCATTCATACTATTAAGTATTGAAGCTGCTTAAGTAAGAGGTTCACCGAGAAAATAAAAAAAATAAAAAAAAAGCCAGAATGAATAATTTTGTTGCTGGTTATTTCCAATTCCCAATAGGAAATTAGAATGACTGTTGCGCATGAAATTAACAGTACTACACCTTCTTTAAACCTTTTGAAGCACGAGGCTAGATCAATAGCATCATTAGGTCGCATAGAGCCCTGCTTTAGTGGCACAACAAGCCTAGTAGGAGGATAGTCCATATGAGTTATGTGATATGTATGATAGAAATAAAGTGACTATAATACTCTACAAACAGTGAAAGGTTAGCAGAAGATGTTGTACTGTTAATTTCATGTGAAATAGAATTCTCTTTGTACTTTAGAATTAGAATTACTGTTGCGTGTGAAATTAATAGCACTACATATTCTGCTAACTTTTCCCACTTGTGGGATTTCACTGGGTTTGTTGTTGTTGTTGTTGTATTCTGCTAACTTTCACTTTTTTGTAGAGTATCCTTTTTACTTTATGTCTGTGTCAGAGCTATATGCATATCACATAACTGGTATGGACTATCATACTCTGCTTATTGTGCCTCTAAATAAGGGCTCTATATGACCTAGTGTTGATACTAATCTAACCTCGTTTTTCACATGGTTCTTTCTATGCATTTGAAATATGTGGCCGCATACCTATATTTCCCAATGTAATTGTGTACTAAGTACCATTCTCTTTGTATTTTGTCTATCAGTTACGTATGCACGCCTTGTTTCCATCTCCTCTCTTTTTGTACAAGCTAAATTTCTGCAGGAAAATTCTACAACNCCTTGTTTCCATCTCCTCTCTTTTTATTCAAGCTAAATTTCTGCAGGAAAATTCTACAACTCATTCTAGAGAAGTTTAATAGTTTCTGGCATTCAATTGCCAGTAATTATGTTCAAGAAAAAACTTATCCAGTCGTATTAATGGGAACTGTCTTCCGTAAAAAGCTTTCATACCTTGTAGGTTTCAAACTTCAACCAGTTCACATCTACTAAAGTTTCTTCCTTCCAAATTCCGATCCAATAGTTCTGAACAGAAAGTCTTTTTGAGTCATCAGAACCTAGTAGTTTGTGACCTCAGCATCTCGAAAGAAACACAACTCTGAATTGATTATAAGGTGCATTGGATGATTTTCCCCCCTATGCTTTTTAATGAGAAATCTGGATCCGAATATCTTCAATCTTGGAATAAATCTAATATCTACTTTAATAAGCCAGGTTTTGCTCTGGTATAATAACAAATATTCCTGGCTATGATCAAGAAGAATTAATTACTCTGTATGAACTGCACAAACTACTGATTGCAAATTTGCTAGTTTCCAGTGCTGCAAATCGTTCTCCATCTTCTGCTCTTAAAGCAAGATTTTCTTTCTCGTTGCTGACATTTCCCCTTCCCCTCAACCAGAATGGAAGGGAATTTCTCATACAAGCAAACACTCAGAAGCGGCGCAAACTCGAGGATGACAACAGCTCAACTTCATTTGAACATGTGGAGGTATATCTTATATTTATATGCTATGTTTTATATATAACATCTTGCTCTTCTTGGCAGTTTCTTTAGGTGTAAAGCATTCTAATAACTGAGATACTCTCTTTTACAACTGTTGATTTGTTAGCCATGTTATCTTAGGGTGTTTTTCTTACCCTTCTGGAAGAATGTATATGCTAATGCTGAAGGAAATACTTTTTGTAGACAGCAGCTGATACTGTGAAAAAGATAGTAGACAATACAGACACAAGCAACGTGGGTTCAGATGTGAGTAGACGGAAACAAAGCCGTGTCAAGGGACAAACTAATTCTGGTAGAGGACGTGGTTCCCGAATTAGTGATCAGACCAAGCCACAAGCAGTTTCTGTGTCAAATGGTCAGCTCGAGAACTCTTACCAGAAGGTGAGTTTTTCCTGGCATGATTTTAGGTTTGTTTTAGGATAATATGAGTATTAGTAGTGATTGAGCTTGAAAAGATAAGTGTAAAATATACTGGCAAATGTTTGTCCAATACCATTGACAGTGCATATGGATAGTACTAGAGAAGATCCTGCTTTATCAATGTCAATTCTGAAATATTTAAGCTTAATATTAATACATATTAGTGTTACGGCTGATATTTTCTGCTGTTCATTTCTTTGTTGTACCTTTACAATGGTTGAAATCTGGACTTATGCTGCTAGTTCTACATTCTATATGCTGAAACAAATTTAGTTTTCATTGTTGTAATGTGTTTCCTTTTTTCTTATGTCATCCTTTATACCTTAGCTACTCTTGTTTCAGCAGATTACTGGGACAATTTGATAATAGCTATTCAATGTTTAATGGATTATCACTTAAGATGACTACAATTGAACAAATTTGTAACTGGATGAGATATTTTTGGGTGGTATCATCAATTTACTCTTGTGATTTAGTAAGTTTAAAGATGAGTCGGTTTATCCTGCTTATTAGTCAGCATTTCTCCGTCATAGTATTACTGGCTAAAATCATGATTTTAAACATTGAGTAGACCAGGTTCGCATCGGCCTAACGAGCACATTGCCCATCCTTCTTCTTTTTTTTTTCTTGTGGGGAGACGAGTTGGGAAACCTATTGTACTGGATTAAGCATAAATATCCTTTTACCCCTTTCCCTTACCACCGATCATTCCCCAACATGAGCACTAACTCTTCACCATGCCTGCTCACGTATCGCTGCTCGCACCCCTACACCGCCCTGCCATCACGCCTAATTTTTGTACTATTCTTTTTTAGCTTTAATTATACAAAATTTGGTATGATAATTAAATGAGTGTAATTTCTTCTTTTTGCTCTTATGGTCTCTTAGATGTGCTTATCATAATCGGGAAATGTTGTATTTCATCTTTATACCGTCCATGACTCAAAAAGCCCAGCCCCCCTATTGGCAATGATGACTAAAGCAGCAGAACTTCTTCAATCATGGAGAAGAGGGTTCTGAAAAATGAGGGGACTACTCTTTGACATGGTTATGGATATGCAAAGTCTTTATCTGATTGGTGAGTTCGATGAATTGGCAAAAACAATCTAGGACAGTGCTTTAGAGATGGAGAATATGGTAATATTTGTGGAAGAACACTCCTTGCTCGTAAGAGATAGAAACACTAATATGGTGTAAGGAGAGGTGTCTAGTGGGCAGATTGAGTCAAATTTGGTTGCTTGATCAGGGTAGAACCAGTGTAAGTATGCACGGGTCTAACAGCCCCTTGTAGAGGTTGGAGCTACCTTCTTATTCGAGAAAGGATAGGCAGGTCAGTATTGCTTATGGAAAACTTTAAGTCAGACCCAATCCACCCAATGTTTGCTTGGCCACTATGGGGTTGGGTCAACAATGGGTTTAGGTGGGTGATAAACTAACCTGCCCAAAAGACCTTCTCAACTAGCCTCAATATATCAATATGAACAACAACAACAACAAAAAACCCGAGTCCCACTATTGGGGTAAATATATCAATATGAACAAATTAATTAAAAAAGAGATTTATATCTATTGCACTTTTTGCAATCATATCTGCGAAAGGGTTGACACTCTGCCAGTATTACAGCCCAAAAAAAGAAAAATTAGAAACATTAGACATGGGCTATTTTGGGCAGGTTAGAAAGTGATCTGTGAACAGAATATGACTAGGGACTAGGGTCACTATGGGTTGGGCTAAAGGTGACCCAAAGTGAAAAGCATCACTCACCAAACTCATAAGTGCTTGGGCAGGTTGCTGGTTACTAATTTCTGTGTTGATCTTGTCACTTCTATGTTATACGAGATGTGAGACTTTGTATGACATAATAGTTAAAGGTTTTGGCCTTTGGGGAAATACCAGGTCAGAACATTTGGTAGAAAATGAGGAGAAACAAGAGAGATACTGCAATTGAAAGAGGAAATAAATAAGAAAGAAGGAAGGAGAACAAGCTAGCACCAGAACTTTAGAGATCGGAAATACACACCAACTATGAGTTAAAGGTTTTGGCCTTTGGGGAAATACCGGGTCAGAACATTTGGTAGAAAATGAGGAGAAACAAGAGAGATACTTCAATTGAAAGAGGAAATAAATAAGAAAGAAGGAAGGAGAACAAGCTAGCACCAGAACTTTAGAGATCGGAAATACACACCAACTATGAGAACAGAAAGAAGAAAGAAACCACTAAGATTGTTCATAAGGTCAGTAGGTCTCTGATTTTGTCCATAAGATACCAGCTAATACATTATAGCTTTATATTTTTACCTATTCTTTTTTTTTCTTGTCATTTTTGGCATTTATCGAGCATTAAATTCTGGTTGGATTGACTAGCTAAGATCTTCTGAAAAAGATATTCTGCATGATTAGTTATCCTTGTATACCTTTTCCTGCTGTGTAGTTATATAGGACACTAGCAATGACTTGTGAGTTTCTGGACAGTGTTTTGTCATTTAGATTCCTTTGACCCAGGATTGTGCTTCTTCAACTTGTAGCTATCTTAATCACAGTGAAGCAATTGAGCTTGCTTATGTAGGTTTCCCTAGTTGTCATGTGTTGCTTAATTGTTAAGAATGCTTCGTTGCCGTGGAGGGTCACTCCAGGTATATTTGTTTTGCTTTTTATTCTTCTCTGTTGAGCACTTAATACGTAATATAAATCCTCTGCAACCCCAACCCCTAATGATATTTAATTGTAAACATCAGTTTGTTTTGGAAAGTATCAAATGCAAATAGATTGTAACTTTACTCTATGTGAAGTTGATTACAAAAGGTAACAGATACCAATTTTGAAACTTTACAATGGAAAGGATGATAGATTGCAGAGTAGGCAGTTGTTCATCAGTGGATTAACACATTATCGTTTTGCTTGGTGTAGTTGCAGGATGGTTTGCCAAAAGAGCAAATTGGGCACGATCGACAGACTGTATTCGAAGTATGGGTTTAGTTACAGTTTTCAGATTTCTTCCGTTCCTTTTTACTGTCAAAAAGTGCATTCTGACCTGCAATTTCTATGCAATGAAATTTATCCCAAAAAAAGTGTTGCAGCTCATCAATTTTATGCAGTCACTGTTTGCTACTATTTTATAGCCTCTAATTTATTAAAATGATGTGGAATGCCCTTGGAACTTAGGAGGAGATCACTTCTTTACGGGCAAAAGTTGTGGCTTTGGAGGAAGAGCTTAAGAAATCCCGTCAAGAGGCATCAGATTATCAACATCAGTGTCAACAGCTGGAAAAGGTACAACTTCTTTCCTAGACATAGCGGTTGTTTGGTTACCCGCATTACTGGAAGTGATCTCGACATTAATAGATCCAGGGTATTATTAGAAACAAATGTTTTAAATTTTATGTACAAACTTTTAAATGGTTAACCAACACTTTGATAACAAATGCAAGTACTTCAGAAATTATTATTTGTTGAATTAGCATCCCTAATATTATAATCTGTATATAACTTGTCCGTATGCAGACGACCCATTAGTTGCTTTCACTTTCAATAATAATTTCAGTTGCAACTGATTATTCGTCATTGCATGATTCGATTATACAGGAATTGAAGGATCTTAAAGATTATGAGCAGCAGATAAAGCCAAAGGTGTGCTTCATCAGTTGCTTTACTTCTTTTGGTTGGTTAAGTTCTGTTTCTGCCCTAGAAACAATAAGTATTGTTTGTGCAAGGAATTATTTAGTTTGTGCGGTTGCCTCTCTAAACCTCAAGACCAAAGAAATATATGTGACACTATTATTAGCTGTATCAGTGTGCTTGTCGCCAAATCAAATTTTTGTTGACTCTGATTGGCACTATCTTTTCTTAAAGTTGTATTCCTTTGGAGATATCATATTAGTCTGAATATGCTATTAAAGAATGTATCTGTTCATATGATTTTCCTTTGGAGGAAACATACAGAGATCGTAAGAGGTGTGTATTCAGCTTGACCATTTCAGTAGAACATATAATTATTCAAATTAAAAACCAGAGTTTTCTACCTTGTGTAGAATAGAGGAATATCAAATAGCCTGTACTACTGAAGTTCTTTACATATGTATGGTATATATTATATGCAATTTGTGCACGGCCATTTCCATTCAGCTTGTCTATCAAAATATTGTTATGGAATCTGGCTTTATTGAATCTAAAATGCTTCCTTTTGCTATGGTCCATCCGTGGACATATTTATCATCTCATGCAAGTTGTTCACGAACATCACTATTTAGCTTTCCTCTCAAATATTGCTGTCAAATCCTGATTTGATAAACTTTAAAATGTTCCTCTTATCTGTGTTCCATTTGTGTCTGCAATGATCTCATGTCAACAAAAAGGTTAAAATACCTATCTGAAAGGCGTTGTGGTGGTTT